TACGTAACCGTTCAAATAGATAAAGCTTGAAAATTACACTTTTATTTGTATATGTTAATGAATGGAGAGCACGCATTCCACACCGCGGAGACAACTAAATTAATGCTATTATTAAGTGAGCAAGCGGATAAATTGCGTTATGTAAAGTCATGTAAAACTGAATCTGAAATTCTCCACGTAGATTCGATATCAACAAAGTGTAACATAATAATAAGTTTCCCCCCATTACAGTAACAATCTTTGTTTTTTTTTATCATTCTGTAAGTAGCAGTTATCCAAGTACATAATGCAATAAATACGCACGGGTTTTATGTATTTATTTGCGCGAATAGCATACAGAGCGTGGGTCTCCATTGTGTATAATATGAAGCAATCGGCGACAAAAATGTTGCTCTTGTCGCAAAAAATTGAAACAACAACAACAAAAATATAGTTTGTCCACCACTTAATTCCGTTGGAAATAATAATGACAGCAGCGACAATCCGGATTAAAGCGCTCATAAATATTAATCTATTTAAATGTATTGAGCAATGAGCCGAGGAGTCAGGACAAATATTTCATTTAAGGATAATTTCCATTTATGGTCGGACGGAATGCGCGAAAGAAGATGATGCCAGCATTCCATATTTATATTGAAATGAATATTTTTTGCTTTGTTTTAGTCACAGATCATATATTTCGTCCTGGGTCAAAGGTTTCTTTTCGGGACAAGACAGGACAAGCTCCGATTAGGTTTCGGACTAGTCTCGTCGACGTGCGCATATAAATATAGAGAGACATGTTTTTGTGCTTCTAAATGCAGCCTACCATCTGTCTTTGTCCAGACGCATAAACATTTCGCGACAAACACAAGAGAGAGAAGTGCAAAAAGGAACGAAAATTAAAACGCGCGTATCCTCAGGAGAGGTAAACATTGCACTCTTCTTGCAGAACCAACTTTACCCAATTGGGAAACGATGGTTGGTTGCTTGCTTGTTCGGATCGCATTTTCCAATTAGCCGTGATCCCGATCTCGCAATTAGAATGATCTCGAATATTCTGCATTCTCGTCGAAGTTTCTTCTATTTTCAAAATTCTACTTCGACGTTGCATAAGCGAGTTGCATTAAGATTTTAATATCGCCGGGGAATTGCTGCAGCATTCTTCGATGATTGTTTGTAACAGTTAAGTTAAAACGAAAGGCAATTTTACATCTACATGATATTCCCATACTACATTCAAAAACTACTCAAATAATCCTCAATATAAAACTTAGTATTTGCTAATATCTTTAACTAAAAATATTTGCAATTAATCACTGACGTGTCATTATGTAACATTGAATAATTACCTTTAATAATTGAATATAATTATAGTGTAATTCCACTAATTATATAAATTGGCAAATAACATTTAACTAATTACTTTGGATTATTCAATTAAACTTCCTTTTTTATAATTAATTTATTTAACATGTAGAATTTTTGAACATTTTTCTTAAGCATCAGTACAACTTATATTTTAATTATAAAGTCCAAATTAACAGGAAAATAAGTTTGCTCGAAATTTTTATTTTTTTTACACACTGAATAAAGCAATTAACTAATTAGAAAATTCTATATAAAACTATTAAATTAGTTACTAATACTTTTGTAGCCTAAACGCAAATTCAGATTATTAAATCAACTGATTAATGCATGAATAACACAACATATGTAACATTAAATAGTGAAATAATACAAATTACCTTCTACCATTGAATTTAATTCCAGTGTAATTCTACCAATTATATAATTTGGTTAACTAACAACTGCTTAATTCCAATAACGTTTAACTAAATCCTTTGGATTATTCGATTATTGATTCAATAAACACAACAAATGCAATAAAAATAATGAATTTAAACTAAATAAAAACATTATTCAATTAAACTTTTCAATCATCTTTTTCTAGAATATTTTAATCCACTTTGAATAAAATATATATGATTATTTAAATTACCCAAAAAGATGTTATAATTGAATTTGTCCAGTTCCAGTTTTAAAAGCTATGGTTGCTTTGTACCCACTGGCGTCCCATAGACGCTGCGCGAGCAACCGAGGGCCAATTTTAGCCTATTTTTATTTTAATTATAAAGTCTAATTTAAGAGTTCTTTGGAAAATAGATTTGCTGGCTATTTTGAAATATTCTATCGAAGTTGCCCTACGTTTCGAGTTTTAAAAGCTATGGTTGCTTTGTACCCCCTGGCGTCCCATAGACGCTGCGCGAGTAACCGATGGCCAATTTTAGTCTATTTCTATTTTAATTATATAGTCTAATTTGAGAGTTCTTTGGAAAATAAATTTGCTGGATATTTTGAAACTGTTAAAGTACTAATCAATTATGTAATTAGAAAGTACTATATGAATCTATCAAATAAGTTATAAGTAAAAAAAATAAATGAAATTAGTTACTAATACTTTTGTAGCCTAAATGCAAATTCGAATTATTAAATCAAATTATTATTATAAAAAAAATAAAGCAGTGATTTGAAAGTCAAATTTATTGTTTCGAGAAACCGGTCCAAAATTGTGTTCGTATGATCATGCCTCTTCTATACATATTTTTTTATCATATTAAATCTGGTAGAATGAGCAGAGGCATTACACACACGCACGTCCCGCTTAACGTCGCGCGATTATACCGGGAGGACAGCAACAAACAAAAAAACACAAGAGATGTTAGCCTAATCATCGTTTCGCGCACTAAATCACGTAATTATAATTCAATTTACGATCGGTCGTAAAATTTCCGCCCGACTTTATGCATCGGCACCGACATTGTCGGACATTATTATTGTCGTGTCCATTATTTCAACTTTTTTTTCACTTCTTCTTCGTTTAACGCTCGCAGTTAAGTTACATAAAGTATTGACCTTTCGTGCCGACAACAAAGAATAAAAGTAAATAATAACAAGCAAAAAAAAACAAGAGTAAAGTAGGCTGGAGCTTGGTGGATATATACCAGTTTTCTTTAGTTGCTTTCTTGATCTAGATATGATACTGAAATCCCAGAGCTGGCTGACTTAACGCATAAACTACGTTATCTTTGTTATAACTAAATGCCTCATTACGTCATTTCGAAGAAGAAGTCAAGGAAAAGCGGACGTTGAACTAACAAATTCATAAACTAATTATTAGTTTTTTTTTTCAACATTTTAGGTAAAAAAAATAAACTAATTAAATTATGTAATAGATTAAGGTAATACGTTGTTTGCAGACTATTATTATTACCTTTGCTACAAAGGGCAAAACGCGGTGGAACTACTTAGGTAAACATTTCACTGAAATACCACTATTTCCAAGTCCCTAATCTCTTTGAGAGTTAGTTTTCAAAATGGAATCGCAAAACCAAGAGCTAATAACCCTTTGAGTTCCTTCCATTTCACTTGCACACATTTATATAAAGAATTGAACATAAGTTTATTTGCTAAAACCACAACAAACTGATTCTAATATAAATTAATTAATTAACTTTTTGCTGACACAATTACAAATTTTATAATCATATAATTAAAATTATCACAAATTAATCTTTTAAAAGCGTTGTAAACTGCAACAAACTGATTCTAAGATAAATTAATTATCTAACTTTTTGATAAAATAATTATATATTTTGTTAATCGAATAATTGGATAATTAAAATGATCGTAAATTGCATTAAATTAATATTATTACAACCATCATTAATTAACGAAATGCAAGGGAACAAAAACTAATACTAAATGAATAACAATAATTCGGTATTATTAATGAGTTTCCAAAATATCATCCAATTTATTCGAACCTATGTGGAAAAAAAATTGCGTGATCAATCAGAGTCGATAATTGGAGTACTCGATGTGTGTGTGCACTCTCATTCGACATGAAAATCGTAGGAGCGAAAATATATTGAAATGTTACCCTTTTATCATACGTTTATCAATTTGTGTCTGCCTATACAGATAAATAGAATAAATATACAACTTTGAAAATAATAGAAAAAAGATAGTTTTACTTTCAAAGAAATTGATTTAATTTTTATGAAAATAAAAATATTAAGGGATTAAAAGCTTTAACGAAGTTTCTCAGACGCCAAGCGAGTAACGATGTTATGAAATGCCGCGCGAGTAACGTAGAGGTAATAGATTTATATATTAGTATTAAATTTATTGATTTGTTGCAGTCTTCAAGGAATTTATTTAATTACACTGCAAAAAATCTCGGAATTTACTGTCAGAGTAATGGATTCAAACCGCAGAATAAATTATTAATTATTATTCTATTATGTTTTATAATAACAAATCAATTACATTCTATTTTATGATTATTTACGCTTAGTATAAAGAAAAACTAGTTATGAAATTGCATTTAGTGATTTATGATCTTAAAATCAATAGTTTGATTCCTTTTAACTGATTAAATTTAAATTAAATCAAGCTACAAAAATAAAGTCTTAAAAGTTTTATAAAATTGCTGAAGTAAATCTGAAAGTCTGAAACAACTTCCTGAACTATACTATTCCAAGTAAAGTGCAACCCTCGAGTGCATCGTACTAATTTCGTCTCCCACGTGTTTTAATATTTGAGAGATTTGCTCGACATCTTTGTACAAAAAAAAAAGTATAAACTATAAAGCGTGTATTCCCCTCGGAAAAAGGACGAACAAAAGGGCAACAAAAGCACGTATGCATCGAGGTTGCAAAACTGTAATCCTGCAAAGCAGAGAATTCTGCGTGGGAAGTTTGTATATGTATGCGACATAACAGTAAGATCCTGGTTGAAAGGAAATCTTATGAATTGAAGCACTTTTGACACAATAGCCGAAATGCAATTATATGCAAGGACATTTACCAAATTGGATTTGCGCGCAAAACTTTTGCAATATCCATAAAAAAAAATATAATATATATTTTACTTCCTGACGTTTATTAATTTCAATATCTTAATGACATCAACTGCAGTTTTAAATATAGTTGAGCTTACTTGAATCTATCTTCGTTTTAATGGTGATGCTCTTTGTATTCCGCCTCTTCCTTATCCAAACTTGCTTGCCACTTCTTCTTGTTGCCCTCAGAATTTGCTATAATAATAATTTAGATTTTCACGAATTTTATATTTAATCAATACTTACATAATTTTGAAATTTTACTGAAAATTGGTAGGCAGCAAATCAGCGAAATGAAGTAGTATCTATAGATCCAATTGTTCTTGGCGTAATACACCCATGGAAATTGGGCAATCTTCGCCGAGAAAGTGTAAGGGAATTTCATTGGTCTTCTCTCTCCCGGCTTAGCCACAGGTTCATCCAACTTCTTCTTCAGTATATTCAATCCCTTCCCCATCAGATCCAAAATGTACTTTGCATCGATCTTCTTCGCCTTGCTCAAATAAGGATCAACGATTTCGTGGGCAGCAGGTGGCAACTGTTTCTTGTCCTTAGCTTCCTGGATCAAACCTTTCAATCCCTGCTTGAGTTCCAGCAGACTCTTCAGATCACCCGATTTCGCTTTACTCAATAAAGCTTCAAAATCCTTCTTCGAAACAGCTTCAGACTTCTTGTCCTTCATCTCATCTATGGTCTTCTTCATCTGACTCATATCCGTATTGGTTACCTTTGAGAAGATCGTCATACATATCTTCTTGGTAACTTTCAATACCTAAAAAAAAACACAATGAATATCTCAGATTACTTACAAGAAAAAAACATTAACTTTACCGTTTTCAAAATATCATTATCTTTATTTCCGCTCATTTTGTTAAACTGTTCTCTGTAAACTTTCGTAAACTGCAATTAATTGACTTTCAACCATCAATTCAATTGTTTCAGTTGTCACGTGACGCAACCACCTTTGATTTTCAAACAAATTACAAATTTCTTACGTAATTTTGGTTGCATAACTAACAGTTTTTGACTTTGTAAAAAATATATTTTTTTTACATATAATTTCTGCGTTGGTGTTGGTTTTCCCGCGCATCCATCCAAGATAAATATGAGATGCACATGATGATGTGTTTTGGAGGAAGCTGTGACAAGAAGGCATCCGAGAAAAGGAAAAGGAGTTATTTTCGAGGTTTGGCCCAAATCCCACATTTAAAAATAATTCTCGGTGAGAAGATGATGATGATGATGATGGAGAAAAAAGTGCGCGCCGATATCTGTTGCAAATAAAAAAAATATGAAAATCTGACACCAATTAGGAGCTAACATCATTTATCACTTAGTCCGAAGATCTGTTTTGATCTGGTCTGCTCTGGGTCAACTCTTTTTTGGAAACGGGTCTATTTTTGTTTATGGTATATCCACACGAAGAGAAAGATTTAGAGAAAGATAGAGATATTTTGCGTGTTATTATTGTTGGAAGCTCGTGTATTTTGTGATACTGACTTTTTTTTTGACGGAACGGGATTGGAATATGTAAATAGAAAACATAATATTATTAATATCTATCAATAAACATAGGAGTCGAAAAGGGGGGCAACGCATTCAACCAAGGTCTTTCCACATTCACACATGTTCGTAGATGCAAGCCAAGCTGCAAATCAATTTATATGCTTAGTGAAATCAACCATCATCGAAATTCTTGGAAATATGCTCCAAAGTCTTTCAAACATTGATCTAAACTACATCATTTCACAAATATATTTGAAAAGTAAATTTGTAACATGAAAATATAAATGCGTCATCATTTGTGTATCTTTTTTTTAAATTATTTTAAAGTAAATGTAATTAAAAACATATTAATTTATTTAAAAAGTTACTGAATTATTGGCATTTTTAATGATTATTCTTTAAATATCAGTTATCAATGAAATTGTAGTGATTATAAATATCCTCAATTCTGGTTAAACTAAATAATTATACGCAAATTTTAAATGACATTGAACGTTGTTCAGTAAATTCTATGTAAACAGATATAATTAATAACAACAAGATTTATTACAAACATAACATAAATGGAAACCACATGAATCATTGCATTATTATTAATGATAATAGAAAAAAAACCTTTCAAAAGGTTAGGTTTTAAATGGATTTCGAAATGACAGCTGTCACATTGTGTGACGTATGTGACTGTTCTTGACGTATGTGACTGTAAGAAGAAGCTTTTGGATTTAAAATTTTGTTTCTTTTTATTAAATCTTTAGTTTAATTTCAGGTGAAATTATTTATGCATTTATTCAGTTATAAGTAGCGTTTCTTAACGTATCGACTGTGAAATGACAGCTGTCAAATTGTGTGACGTATGTAACTTGTACAATAATGGATTTATTAGTTATAAGTAGCGTTCCTTAACATATCTACTGTGAAATGACAGCTGTCATATTATGTGACGTATGTGACTGTTGCAATATCATTATTATTATAAATCGTAAGAAGAAGCTTTTGGATTGAAAATTTTTATTAAATCTTCAGTTTAATTTCAGGTGAAATTATTTATGGATTTATTCAGTTATAAGTAGTCTTTCTTAACTTATCGACTGTGAAATGACAGCTGTCATATTATGTGACGTATGTGACTGTTGCAATATCATTATTATTATAAATCGTAAGAAGAAGCTTTTGGATTGAAAATATTTATTAAATCTTTAGTTTAATTTCAGGTGAAATTATTTATGGATTTATTCAGTTATAAGTAGCGTTTCTTAACGTATCGACTGTGAAATGACAGCTGTCAAATTGTGTGACGTATGTAACTTGTACAATAATGGTTTATTAGTTATAAGTAGCGTTTCTTAACGTATCGACTGTGAAATGACAGCTGTCATATTGTGTGACGTATGTGACTGTTAACGTATCGACTGTGAAATGACAGCTGTCATATTGTGTGACGTATGTGACTGTTGCAATATCATTATTATTATAAATCGTAAGAAGAAGCTTTTAGATTGAAAATTTTGTTTTTTTTATAAAGTTTTTATTTTAATTTCACGTGAAATTTTGTATGGATTTATTCAGTTATAAGTAGCGTTTCTTAACGTATCGACTGTGAAATGACAGCTGTCAAATTGTGTGACGTATGTAACTTGTACAATAATGGATTTATTCAGTTATAAGTAGCGTTTCTTTACGTATCGACTGTGAAATGACAGCTGTCATATTGTGTGACGTATGTGACTGTTAACGTATCGACTGTGAAATGACAGCTGTCATATTGTGTGACGTATGTGACTGTTGCAATATCATTATTATTATAAATCGTAAGAAGAAGCTTTTAGATTGAAAATTTTGTTTTTTTTATAAAGTTTTTATTTTAATTTCACGTGAAATTTTGTATGGATTTATTCAGTTATAAGTAGCGTTTCTTAACGTATCGACTGTGAAATGACAGCTGTCAAATTGTGTGACGTATGTGACTTGTACAATAAATATTATTATTTATAAATCGTAAAAAGCTTTTGAATTAAAGATTTTTGTCCTTAGGCTAATTCCAGGTGAAATTATTTAGGTTAACATCTAAAGATAGATGAAGTAGGGTGCATATTGAATTTGTTTTCGTGTTCTAATTGAATAATTTCAAGGATCAGAACATACACGAATATATCTGTTAGTTGAATTAAAGCTTTCTTCAGTACTTTGAATCTAAATAAACAAAAGATTATTCATAATCAGAAGCTTATCTTATTTTATATTTATAGACGAATTTAGGAACCTCTTTTGGGCAGATAGTGTCAGTTGAGGGACCTCAAACATCTCTTAAGTTATTAGCTAAACCTAAAGATAGATTCAATAGTGGTATGAACTCCTGCTGAAACTAGATAATTATAATGATGATGAAATGCGTTATTTATATGTTCGGCTTGGGAATTGGAAGCTTTCCGGTGGATTTTGTTTATTGAACAGCGTGCGAAAACAGTGACAAATGCAAGATTAATCATTTCCTCTGCGATTCCGTTTGGAATATGTGTGTGTATGTATGTTTAGTGGAGAGTGTGCGGTGGAGCAGTAGTGGAGTGAAGCGGAGTTTAAAAATAGTGGAGCGCGAGTTGTGTAAACTTGGACGTGGTGCATTGCGGGGCTCCTTTAATAAATTGGCTAGCCAAATATTTTTTGGAGGTTGCTCCAAAATTAGTTGGGAAGTTAATAATGAAACACACGGGGAAATGGCATCGGGGAATTTCATCCACACAGAGGTAGTTGACTTGGGCGTTTGCGAATCTAAATTCGTACTTGATGCAATGCAATTGTAATGCATTGTAAGTCGGGCAATAATTCGCTCGGTTGTCTATGTAAAACGGCTTCGAAGCTGATGCCTCGTGTGTATGTATGTGTGCATGATGCGTATGCGTTAGTGTGTACAAGAGAATAATTTTAAAGTGTTCATTTTATAAATAGTAATTTGTGTCCTTGAGTAAGAGAGGAGTCTGGCGCGCTCGCTGTGCAGCAGCATCCAGTCGTCGGAGTTAGTGCATCTCCAAAGAGGTTCTATGTGCGCTTCTTCTTCCCTTCATTCCCTCAGTCACAATCCTATCGTCCGTCTGCTAAGATTCCGACCGATCTAAAACCTACACACACATATATATATATATATATACATACAACAATCCATTCCCTCATCATCTCATCATCATCCAAATCCGCCTTTGCAGCGCGCGCGTGTCTGCATTTCGTCCTTCGTCCTCCCGACTTCCCAATATAACGCGACTTCCTTAGCGCGCGCGGACAGGAAGTTAGCATTAGTTTGTTGTCGTGTGAATGGAATCCGCCGCCTCTCTTTTGCATTTGCCGTCGTCTGAGCACCGCAATAAATTCGTTGCAGTGTCGCCGCCGCCGCCACAGCCACCTCCGCCAACCGACAACGGGAACAACATTTGAATTGTGTGTACACAGCTATATATCTTTTACACATTTTTAATCCCACATAAACAACAACAACAACAAACAAACTACGAAAATTTTTAAAATCCTAAAACCTATTAAAATCATCTATTATAGTCAATTGTTATAAAATCGATTATGTCCAGAGCTATCAAATTTACATTGAGTATTAAGGAATTGTTATATGTTAAAATGTCATCAGAAATAAGACTTGTTGACTCAATTCTATCTTTAGTTTCCAATTAAATCTATAATTACTTTTTTTTGTCACAACTTAAGGAATATTTTATATTTAAAATACTTTAACGAGAATAGAACTTGGTTGACTCAACTTGACAGATTAATTTAACTAATGATAATTATTGATATTGATTTTATGATTGAATATTCAAGAATTCTTATATGTTAAAACATCATAAAAAAATAAGACTTGTTGACTCAATTCTATCTTTAGTTTCCAATTAAATCTATAATTAGTTTTTTTTTCCACAACTTAAGGAATATTTTATATTTAAAATACTTCAACGAGAATAGAATTTGGTTGACTCAACTTGACAAATTAATTTAACTAATGATAATCATTGACATTGATTTTATGATTGAGTATTAGCGAATTTTTATATGTTAAAATATCATAAAAAAATAAGACTTGTTGACTCAATTCTATCTTTAGTTTCCAATTAAATTTATAATTAGTTTTTTTTTGCCACAACTTAAGGAATATTTTATATTTCAAATACTTCAACGAGAATAGAATTTGGTTGACTCAACTTGACAGATTAATTTAACTAATGATAATCATTGATATTGATTTTTTGATTGAGTATTAAGGATTTCTTATATGTTAAAATATCATCAGAAATAAGACTTGTTGACTCAATTCTATCTTTAGTTTCAAATTAAATTTATAATTAGTTTTTTTTTTCCACAACTTAGGAATTTTTCATATTTCAAATACTTCAAAGATAATAGAATTTGGTTGACTCAACTTGACAGATTAATTTAACTAATGATAATCATTGACATTGATTTTATGATTGAGTATTAAGGAATTATTATATGTTAAAATATCATCAGAAATAAGACTTGTTGACTCAATTCTATCTTTAGTTTCCAATTAAACCTATAATTAGTTTTTTTCATCAACTTAGGAATATTTCATATTTCAAATAATTCAACGAGAATAGAATTTGGTTGACTCAACTTGACAGATTAATTTAACTAATGATAATCATTGACATTGATTTTATGATTGAGTATTAAGAAATTCTTATATGTTAAAATATCATAAAAAAATAAGACTTGTTGACTCAATTCTATCTTTAGTTTCAAATTAAATCTATAATTAGTTGCCTACTCAATCTATTGCAAATTAAATATGTCAATAAGAATGCAATTTTCATAATCTCATAACAATTATTAATAGAAAATATTTTTTCCCACAACTTAGGAATATTTTATAATCCAAATACTTCAACGAGAATAGAACTTTGTTGACTCAACTTTATCTCTTCTACCTGTTTAATCTCACATTAACAACAACCAATGATGATTGGAATATTTTGTTTCCTAATACTTTATGTAACGTTAAATGGATTTCAATAATAAAATGTGATGACTCCGCTTAGCTCAATTTAATACATTTAAAATTGACAGATTAATTTAAGTAATGACAACTATAATGATTGTTATAAAAAATATACCAGAGTTTTTAACCATTTTTCCATCTTCTCCTAACATATTTGTTTGTAGTTGCTATAGCGACCCAATTACTAATTGTATTTCACCAGTTCTTCATTTTAACACAATGTGACAGCTGTCATTTCGCAACGCATGTTGAGAAACGTTGATTTAGAGGAGTGGTAACAAGCAAACTTTCTGATATATTTTGCTTAATTTGTAATAATTTCCATATCTAGTGTGTAAACGTCGAAAGTGAGTGTAAATGTCTGTCCTTTCATATTTACTTATATTTTTTTTGTAATTTTATTTCCCGCCGTTTCTAATGGAATTGCTTCTCGACGCACATCCGTTTTAGCTAATTCAAGCTAATTGAATACAAAGGAAATTCCTGCCACGACCGCATCGCATCGCATTGGATGGATGGATGCATTTCAAACGTATTTTTTTTTTCAGAATTTCCTTTCCCCAATGCTCTCGAATCACAATAACCTTAAATTATTCGAACGGAACTATCTTACAGAGACAGATTTCCCAGAATCTTGAAAATAACAATGATAACATAAATATTCTTGGATAACCTATATATTTTTATCGTTCGATTATATTATTGAAATTTGTATCCTTCGCAGCATTATCGATGCATTATTTATTTGCATTTAGTATTTCAGTTTCATACAAAACTTAATTTTATTTCAATTTTAAAAATAATAATCTTATATATAGCTTTAAGTGTGTATAAACCCAAATTTGGTCACAAAATGACAGCTGTCACCTTCTGTCAAACCAAGGAATTGTTGATTTGTTATTTGAACCGAAAATTGTGTTACGAAATGACAGCTGTCACCTTGGGTTAAAGCAAAGAGCTGATGAAATTCAATTGGGACGGTTTTGATCTTTAAGGGTGTATAAACTCAAAATTGGGTCGCAAAATGACAGTTGTCACTTTGTGTCAAAGCAAGGAGCTGGCAAAATATAAATTGAGTTGGTGTTGATCTTTAAGAGTGTACAAAAAGAAAATTGAGTCGCAAAATGACAGCTGTCAAATGAAGGAGCTGTTGAAATTCAATTGAGATAGTGTTGATCTTTAAGGGTGCACAAATTCAAAATTGAGTCGCGAAATGACAGCTGTGACCTTCTGTCAAATCAAGAAGCTGTTGAAATTCAATTGAGATAGTGTTGATCTTCAAGGGTATTCAAATTCAAAATTGAGTCGCGAAATGACAGCTGTCACCTTCTGTCAAATCAAGAAGCTGTTGAAATTTAATTGAGATAGTATTGATATTTAAGGGTATACAAATTCAAAATTGGGTCGTAAAATGACAGCTATCACCTTGTGTCAAAGCAAGGAACTGGTCTAATGTAATTAGAAGAGTTGAGAAACGTGGTGTATACAAAAAATCCTATATATTTTAACAAATATAATAGATTTAGATTTTAAATATTACGAAACACCAATAAATCTATAAAATTTTCTTTTTTTTTGTTACGCTTCATTGGTGTACAATAGTAATACACCTCGATTTGGTATAATGGATCAACATATAACGCATTTTAAGCATAAAGTTGGTGGTCGAGATGTAGTATTGAAAAATAAGCTGTGCTCCAATAAATCTGCATAAAAGCTCGCCGCAGAAATAGATTCGGTTTCCAAGGAGCATATTTTCTCTTTCGTTGGAGAATTTGTATAGACTTGTATGTTTCGCGTGAGCGCGAGAAGGATGGAACTTCTCGTTCTGTGCACGTGAAAGACCAGGATCGAGCAGTGAAGGGAGAGAATATACAACGTGGAATTTAATTTGGATTTGCACGTGAGGTTTCCGAGGAAAAGACGTTTCCTTCTCTATTGGGAAAGAAATGAACTCTCCCTTTCTACCCTTCATTCACAGTAGCAAAATTCATTGATAAACGTGTTCATTATAATTAAGTATAAATTACACACTTAATTAAGTTATAAAAGATCAAATTTACCTATGTATAATTTAATTAAAAGTATTAGCAATTAATAATTATAATCTAAAGGTGCACATTTCTATCCTGGTCATAAATAATAATTTAATTAATGTTTCTTCGCATTAAACGAAACTTTCTTTAATATAGTCATGATTTAAAGTTATTGCCTTTATTATTTATTTCATGTGTATTATTTCACGCACACTTTGCGTCTAAATACCAAAGTTGTTAAGCGCGTTTATAAACGTACATTCATTCCATTTTATGTCTCGTTGTTGTTTTATTTTTATTTTATTTTTATACCAACGTTGTTTAGTGGACTTATCTAACAAGAACTATAAAGAGAAATTTTATTATGAGAAACGCAATTGGTCGTCCGTCCCGGCCAGTTTCTTATGCAATTGAACCGAAAGGCCAACCGAGAGAAAGAAATTCAGAAAGAGACAAGAATGTTACAAAAAGAAAACAAAATATGTATAATAAAATGAAAAGGCAATTTAATCTTTCTTAGACAATCTTCGGGCACCGTTAAATAAACAAATAAAAAAACTCAAATTTTACTTCTTTCTCTCTGTTATATATCAAATTGCAAGGCCGTAAATGTTCGTGCGTTTTTTTTTTATATTTTTGCAAGAATTCGATCTGGAAATATGCGGTCTCTTGATTTAGTAAGGTGTCAGCGATTCAGGCCAGTTATTAAGAGAAAATCGAAATGCCACATGGAAGTTGGTTTGCTTTCGACCCGTTTCCAAAAATACTCGTGCAACTTCCTTTGGAACGTTGCGCAATTTATATGTCGGATGTTTGCGACTCGTAAATTTTGCAAAAAGATTTTTTTTTAATTAATTATATAATCTATTTAACAATTTTTATTGGTTCTTTTAGTGTTTTCACATATTAAACTATAATTGATTGATTGTATCCAAAAGATACATATGAAAGCTGAATGTTTAGAGAATGTAACGTACATTGCTGTGATTTCATTCATTTGGCTGTAATTCGCGTTCAAAGTTCAACAAATTAATGTTCGAAAATGCAGTGTATTCACAGTTTAGTGATTTTCTCAAAATCTATAATTGATTGATTCAAAAAATGCATATGAAAGCTGGATGTTTAAGGAATATAGAAAGTATTCATACATTGCTTTGGTAATTTTTAAATGTTTGAAATTTTTTGTAACTTTTGAATCTTTGAAATTTTAGGTATTTTCTTAATGTTGGAAATTTGCAATAATGTTTTAAAGTTGGAAATTTACGGTAATTTTTAAATATTTGAAATTTATCTCAATTTTTTCAAACTTTCATGAAATTTACTACAATTTTTGAAAGATTTAAATTTTCAGTATTCTTGTAATGTTTGAAATTTACAGTAATTTTTTAATGTTGGAAATTTACAGAAATTTTTAAATATTTTAAATTTATCTCAATTTTTGAAAGTTTAAAATTTACTGTAATAAGATATAAGATTTAAATTTTCGGTAATTTTTTAATATTTGAAATTTACCTTAATTTTTGAAAGATCGAAATTTACTGCAATTTTTGAAAGATTTAAATTTCGGTATTTTTTTTAATGTTATAAATTTACAGTAATTTTAATGTTTGAAATTTTCGGTATTTTTTGAATGTTGGAAATTTACAATAATTTTTGAATGTTGGAAATTTACGGTAATTATTAAATATTTGAAATTTACCTCAATTTTTGAAAGTTCGAAATTTACCGTAATTTTTGAAAGATTTAAATTTTTGGTAATTTTTGAATGTTCGAAATTTTCGATAATTTTTGAATGTTTGAAATTTACAGTAATTTTTGAAATTTTTGATATTTTTTAAATGTTTGAAATTTACAGAAAATTTTAAATGTTTGAAATTTACTGTAATTTATGAATGTATAAGTTACAACAAAATGTAGGAAAATTTGCATTTATTTATCAAAAAAAAATTATGAAAAACTAATAGTAAACAGTTTTATTTAGGTATAAAATCTGTAATGTTGTATAAACTGAAGAAAAAAAACAGATAATTTGTAATGTTAATGTCAATTAGTCGTATCTTTTAAAGACTACGTTTAAACTACGAAGAGATCTGTTAAATTGCAGAAAGTAACGTTAACCAGCTACGACTGGTTTTCCTTTGCGCGGCTCAATTTAGTGAGTGCAGAATACTAGAGGAGATAGATCCCAGCTCTGACATCAAAATAAAACATTTCGCACCATCAATCACGAATCCTCTCCGTGCGTCGAGCTGCATTTAATGTGTTGGTTAACACAAATGCCTCATTAATAACTGTCCGTTCAGGAGACAAGGTTAACACACGATTCGTTTAAACAAATGCACATGAGGAAGAACGAGAATCATTGTAATAATAATAGCAACAGAAGATGAATAACAAAAAAAAGGCACAAGCACACGCAATTTCTCTCTAATGAACATTAATAAACATCAATTGTCATCGCCTCGCTTTTCATCATCTTCTAAAACTTGAGAGCAGATATTACGTTTTAAAAACAAGATTTCAAAGTAACTAAATTGTAGAGAATGGTAGTAGTTTTATATTATAAGATTCTTTAAGATTTTGAACAATTTGGTTATTTTGAATTGATAAATCATAGGTGAAAGGTCAAACTTGTATTTATAACAAGTTTATTTTTGTAAAGTAAGCTGTTAGAGAGAGGCTTTAAGATATATTAGTTACTTTGTAACAGGAATTAGAAGGATAATTTAAAAAAAAGACGTAACTGGACAGCGTTCTGATTCGGTTCTAATTATTTGATGAGCGGCGGATATATTCGCCAAAGAATGAGAATCATTGTTCTAATAATAACAGAAGATGCAAAAAAGGCACAAGTAAACGCAATTTCTCTCTAATGAACATCAATATTCATCGACTCGCTTTTCATCATCTTCTAAAACTTGAGATCAGATATTACGTTTTAAAAACAAAATTGCAAAGTAACTAAATTGGAGAGAACGGATATAAGATTCTTTAAGTTTTTGAACAATTTATTTATTTTAGATGAAACGTCAAACCTGAATTCATAACTAGTTTATTTCTGTAAGCTAAGCAGTTAGAGATAGAATTTGGTAAGTTTGTAAAAGGAAATCGAACTATAATAAATAGACGTTTGCTTACGAGCGGCGGATATATCCGCCAAAGAACGATATTCATTGTAGTAATAACAGAATATGAGAAAAAGGCACACGCAATTTCTCGCTAATGAACATTAATAAACATCAATTTTCATCGACTTGCTTTTCATCATCTTCTAAAAGTTGAGAGCAGACGGATATATCCGCCATTCATTAACACTGGAGATTTTATAAGCAGTAGTAGTTACGTATTATAAGATTCTTTAAGTTTTTGAACAATTTGGTTATTTTAGATGAAAGGTCAAACCTGTAACTAGTTTATATCTGTAAGCTAAGCTGTTAGCGAGAGGCTTTGGTAACTTTATAAATTGAAATATAAGGATAATTAAAGATAAAGACGTAACTAGATAGTATTTGTGGACGAGTGGCGGATATATCCGCCAAAAAAGAGATTCATTCATTCAATGACAGCAAATGAGAAAAGGCTCGAATATATATTAATTGTCGTCTACTAAAACTTGAAATATTGCGTTTTAAAAACGAGATTCTGAAGTAACTAATTTGTATAAAATCGTTTTACAAATCTTTTGTTTTGAACGTCGAAAACAAGTTGTTATTAATTATGACCATCGATGCAAAATACACACACACAAGAATTTGCGCTGAACGTTTTATTTGTTAACGTCTCGACTCAACAGAACGCTCATTAATCAATTCCGTTCTTTCTTATTTCTTTTGTTTCAGACTCTTAAAGTTCCATATTTGGAGCCAAGGACTGATCCAAGACTGTTAAGTAAGCAAACAGATCTTCTTTTTTTCTCCTTTTCACAACCGTTCTTCAATTTTTATATTATTATTTTTTTTTTTTTTTGGATATTTCGTTTTTTGGATAGCTTTGATTTATTGCCGGCTTGATTATATACGTCTTGACTTTACGATCCTTTCCTTGCTAATTATCGAAGCATCTTTTATTAGTTTCGCAAGAATCCGATTTACTTAAAACCGGATTCCTAGTAAATTCCGATTTTATAAATTTAACGTCCATCTCTAAGACGTTTCATATTAATTACTATAAAATTCCAATAAATTAATAACTACCAATTTCTCAATCATTACTAAATTTTTAACTCATTTTTTGATCCAATTGTTGAAAAACAATTGATTTTATAATCATTTATAGTCATTACTAAAAACAACTCCAAATATTTTCTCAATTTTTAACTAAATTTATTGAAACATTGATGATTCAGCTCAGAAAAAATGTGATTGAATCAATATTTTTTTTTTGATATTTATAATAAGTTTTTAGTTGTGACTCATGCAGGTAACGTCCTGAGCAAATACAACAACATCTTTATGTATTGCAATAAGAAAAAAACGTGTGAATTGTTTATGTTCTGAGTTTGCTGTGTGATTCATACAACTTTAATTCATGAAAATACAAACAATGTAATTAAAATTAAACAAACTAGAATGAAAGAAATTATAAAAAATGGACTAGAGTTTATTAATTCATACAAAACATAAACTGTTATAGTGAACCAACGTTGAAATATCTCAAAATCAGTTTGATAATTAGTAGTTTTTAATCCTAAATTCCTTGGATTCGTTACAATTGATTTATGTTATCTAAAACGTAACTAAAAATGAATTGATTCTAAATTTTTAGTTATGAATTCTTTAAAAGAAAAAGTTGCATCATACGAGGAAGAAGCTGATGATTGCTTAAATCTATCATTAGAAAAAAACTGAAGTTGATTCGTTTGTAATTCACAATCATCACCATTGTTTTTTTTTCCTAATTAGACCTAGTTCACAACAAATAAATTACATCATGGAAATATTTCAAATTCAGTTGTAATTTCAATAAAATAATTGATTATTTTGTTCAAATTATAATTAATTATAAACTGTAAATTGTTCAATGAATCGATGCACATTTTGCAACAATTCCATGTGATTAAATCTATATAATTCATTTATTACGCTGACGGCTAAAGTTCCATTGTATCCATTGAAAGTTACGTACAGTACTCGTATCAATTAATAACAGCGATCAAGTGTGAAATTGTTGCTGTTTGAGAGAGGATCGAAAAACAGAGCTTTCGCCTTTCTCTTAAAAACAGGACACACGAATAACAACAACGAGCCGCAATTAACGGATTTCAGTTCACAATTTCTACGAGAAGGACATACAAATTGATGGATCACATTCGGATCTGATTGTTGGATTACGATGGAGGAAAATAAAAGCGCCTCGATGTATGGGAAATGGCGTTAATTGATGTACTTAATGCGGTGCCAATAATTAACGGCAAACTGTAATTGATGTTTGAGTCAGTAAGTGAATATAATTAGATTGTATCGAGGTAATTACTTCGTATTGAAATTACATGTTTTCCTATTTAGCTTTAGGATATATTCGTTACTTTGTAGCAGAAAATGGAAATATACATTTCAAAACTAAATATTAAAGAAGTATAATTTTCGGACCAGCGGCGGATATATCCGCCCTATCCTTAACACAGTAGGCTTTATAAGTAATAGTAGTTACCTATCATAAGATTTTTAAGAATTTGGTAATTTTGAATTGATAAATGCTATGTGAAAGGTCAAGTCTGTTTGTATAACTAGTTTACTTATTTGAGCTAAGCTGTTAGAGGCTTTAAGTTATATTGATTATTTTGTAACAGGAAATAGAAGGATCATTAAAATTTTCAAATGACGTAACTGGGGAGTGTTCTGATTCGGTTATAAGCGGCGGATATATCCGCCATAATAATTTACACTTGAGATTTCGTAAGTAATAGTAATTATTATAAGATTTTGAAGAATTTGGTTATTTTGAATTGATAAATGCTAGGTGAAAGGTCAAGTCTGTTTTCATAACTAGTTTACTTATTTAAGCTAAGCAGAGGCTTTTGGTTATATTGATTACTTTGTAACAGGAAATAGAAGGATCATTAATATTTTCAAAATACGTAACTGGGGAGTGTTCTGATTCGTTTATAAGCGGCGGATATATCCGCCATAATAATTTACACTTGAGATTTTGTAAGTAATAATAATTATTATAAGATTTTGAAGAATTTGGTTATTTTGAATTGATAAATTCTAGGTGAAAGGTCAAGTCTGTTTTCATAACTAGTTTACTTATTTAAGCTAAGCTGTTAGAGGCTTTAGGTTATATTGATTATTTTGTAACAGGAAATAGAAGGATCATTAAAAGTTTCAAAAGACGTAACTGGGAAGTGTTCTGATTCGGTTATAAGCGGCGGATATATCCGTCATAATCATTTACACTTGAGATTTCGTAAGTAATAGTAATTATTATAAGATTTTGAAAAATTTGGTTATTTTGAATTGATAAATTCTAGGTGAAAGGTCAAGTCTGTTTTCATAACTAGTTTACTTATTTAAGCTAAGCTGTTAGAGGCTTTAGGTTATATTGATTACTTTGTAACAGGAAATAGAAGGATCATTAAAATTTTCAAAAGACGTAACTGGGAAGTGTTCTGATTCAGTTATAAGCAGAGGATATATCCGCCATAATAATTTACACTTAAGATTTCGTAAGTAATAGTAATTATTATATATTCGTTACTTTGTAGCAGAAATTGAAAATATACATTTAAAAACTAAATATTAAAAAATTAAATTTTCGGACCAGAGGCGGATATATCCGCCATATCCTTAACACAGTAGGCTTTGTAAGTAATAGTAGTTACCTATCATAAGATTTTTAAGAATTTGGTTATTTTGAATTGATAAATGCTAGGTGAAAGGTCAAGTCTGTTTTCATAACTAGTTTACTTATTTAAGCTAAGCTGTTAGAGGTTTTAGGTTATATTGATTATTTTGTAACAGGAAATAGAAGGATCATTAAAATTTTCAAAAGACGTAACTGGGAAGTGTTCTGATTCGGTTATAAGCGGCGGATATATCCGCCATAATAATTAACACTTGAGATTTCGTAAGTAATAATAATTATTATAAGATTTTGAAGAATTTGGTTATTTTTAATTGATAAATGCTAGGTGAAAGGTCAAGTCTGTTTTCATAACTAGTTTACTTATTTAAGCTAAGCTGTTAGAGGCTTTAGGTTATATTGATTATTTTGTAACAGAAAATAGAAGGATCGTTAAAATTTTCAAAAGACGTAAGTGGGAAGTGTTCTGATTCGGTTATAAACGGCGGATATATCCGCCATAATAATTTACACTTGAGATTTCGTAATTAATAGTAATTATTATAAGATTTTGAAGAATTTGGTTATTTTGAATTGATAAATGCTAGGTAAAGTCTGTTTTCATAACTAGTTTACTTATTTAAGCTAAGCTGTTAGTGGCTTTAGGTTATATTGATTATTTTGTAACAGGAAATAGAAGGATAATTAAAATTTTCAAAAGACGTAACTGGGGAGTGTTCTGATTCAGTTATATGCGGCGGATATATCCGCCATAATCCTTTACACTTGAGATTTCGTAAGTAATAATAATTATTATATATTCGTTACTTTGTAGCAGAAATTGAAAATATAAATTTAAAAACTAAATATTAAACAATTAAATTTTCGGACCAGCGGCGGATATATCCGCCCTATTCTTAACACAGTAGGCTTTGTAAGTAATAGTAGTTACCTATCATAAGATTTTTAAGAATTTGGTTATTTTGAATTGATAAATGCTAGATGAAAGGTCAAGTCTGTTTTCATAACTAGTTTACTTATTTAAGCTAAGCTGTTAGAGGCTTTAGGTTATATTGATTATTTTGTAACAGGAAATAGAAGGATCATTAAAATTTTCAAAATACGTAACTGGGGAGTGTTCTGATTCAGTTATAAGCGGCGGATATATCCGCCATAATCCTTTACACTTGAGATTTCGTAAGTAATAATAATTATTATAAGATTTTGGTTATTTTGAATTGATAAATTCTAGGTGAAAGGTCAAGTCTGTTTTCATAACTAGTTTACTTATTTAAGCAAAGCAGATGCTTTAGGTTATATTGATTATTTTGTAACAGGAAATAAGAGATTTGAGATTTCGTAAGTAATTATTATAAGATTTTGAAGAATTTAGTTGTTTTGAATTGATAAATACTAAGTGAAGTTTAAATTTTTAAGTAACTTTGAAGACTGAAATGGAAAGATAATTTGTCTGAGACATAGTTTATGCTTTGTTGAGTGAGTTAAGTCTTTTAACAATGGTAATTTGAAACAAATTTGAAAGTGCATTAGTGAATTTGAATAATCGTCCGAATTGATTGAATACATTTTGCGCAAGTTCACGGATAGTGGCAGCTCGAATGCATGAATGAAATTAATGATGATATAACCTTTCGTCTATTGGTGTAGGTGCGGTATTAATGCGCTTACGTCACACGATCAGAACAAGAGATCAAAATACACATAAACGTGGCGGAAACCTAACGCATCCATTAAAAAATTTAGACGCTTGATCTTGCTGATACGTGTTAGTGTTTCTCTGTTTGTGTATGTGGATGCATGTGAATATGTTTGTCGCTGACGTCATGGAGACAATTATGGAGAGGAAGACAGAGAAGAGCGTACAGTCAGTCAGTCAGTCATAAAGCCATGTACAAAAAACATGGTGGAGATCAGTCTTGACCGGAGTGAGTGAAGGCCGAATCGGCCCACTGCACTCGAATACAATTGCAGTCTCTGTTGATGTCCCGTCAAGGTTAATTTAATATACCGCCTGCATTTAATGCACTCATATAACATATTATTGCTCTGCCCCATTATGCTCTCTCTCTCTCACACACAGACAC